CAGCGCTGATTAGATGGTATAATATGCTATTTTTATATTGTTTCACTGACATCTCTGTCTTATAAAATAGGCACACACACGGGTCCTTTTGAATAGTTATTCCTAAAATCTCCTGTATATATTGAATTATGTCTTGCCAATATCCCTGTATTTTTGAACATTCCCACCATATGTGGGCCATTGTCCCCCTTGCCCCACATCCCCTCCAACATAGTGATGAAATTTCTTTCTCCTCTGAAAGTGTCTAAATGATTCATATGAGTCCTTCTAAAAGAATGTTTGTTCCAATCATAAACTATTGAGTTCTTATAATCCTGCCTACCTCTCATAAACGTAAATTCTTTAATCTGATGTATTTCATTCTCAAGAAAGATTTATGCAGTATTCAATCTGCTCTCCATTGTAAAAAAAGGATGCATCCCATAAATTTCTCAAGTTATTGTTTTTTTTTTCTTTTTTTCTCCATCAAGCAGGATTTTCTATAGCTCACAATCGTATCCTTTAATTTAAATTAAGTCTCGCTTAGAAATGTAGTCACAGGGACACAGCCTTTTCCGACAATGGATATCAAATTGAACACTGCATTAATCTCTCTTGAAAATGAAATCACTCAGTATAAAAATTTACATTTATTAGAGATAGACAGGGTTATACGGACTCAAAGGTTTATTGGCAAACTTTTAGGATGCCTCATGTGAATAATTTGGACAGTTACAGGATTTCTATTTTGCAATCTAGTTTTACACCTATGCAGGTTTTTATGTTGAGATGGTGAAAAGAGTGCCATGTCTTTGGAGATACTAACCCCCATAGATATTATATCATAAATTTTATATTGGTGATTTATTTTTTTGTACATCAAGAGTTGGCAGAGATAGATTTCTGGAGCACTTAGTACTTCAACAATAATAGTTATTATCTTAGATTTAGCTGTGAGAAAAAGAGCACTCACATTTTTAATTAGATTAAACTCTGAGTTCGTGTTTTGATGATCAGAGGATCAATATACAGGCTTATCATAAGCCTACATCCACAGATTCCCTTTTTACAAAGAAAGTAATTTCTAAAGGCCAATTTATTAGGGTGCAACACAACTACTGTTCACTGAAAGGTTTTGAGTTAGAGAGGTGGTAAAGGGAGGAGGTGATTTCTCAAACACGACTATGATAGGTCCATTATGGAAAAGGCATATTAGTCAGCTAACAATACCTCTGAAGATGATATTCTTAAACATTATGGTACTAAGAGTTGGCTTTCTAACCACTTTAAGTTTCATTGATAATATACTGCTTAAAAGAGCTTTTCCTCCCTGAGCCCCGTATCTGTGATCAAGCCCATGTTGAGTGAAACTTTAGAGAGAGGTGATCTTATGCTACATTGTGCTATATTGGATCTAATAAAGTTGGGTAAGATCTGTTGTCATTGGTGCGTAACTTCCTGCTTTTCTATTGACCTCATAGATCATGGTTTGGTTCTCTTTGCTTAGCACCTGAAGCTCTAGAGGTGGGGGATTTGCATACTTTATTGGAGCTGTGACTTCAGGTGTTTCTATGCCACCCTCACCAGTTTTCATTTCAGAGTGAAATGGAAAGTGGCACAGGTGCTGTGCCTCCTTAACAAATGGATTTCAGTACCTTTTCTTGTTCAAGGATATTTACTTGGAGCACTGGCGTAACTACAGAGGTCACAGGGGTCACAATTTCAACCCAGCCTCTGCTCCAGGAGGCCCTCGTCAACTCCCATTCTTTAAAAGCAGAAGCAGAGATTCCTCCCATGTATCATAATGTGCTGTTTGCCTTCTACTTTGCTGAAAGAGTTAACATCCACCCCTTAGTCATCCTGTCAGGAAGCCTCCTCCAATGAAATCTATTATCTCCCCTCTGCCCCGCACCCTCCTCACATGCCCTGTGATGTCCCATCTAGAATGGAAGACAGGATGAAAAGAGAATAGGATGGAGTTTCAGCTGTTTGGAGAGGCTGAGAGACTTACTTTCTGTGTTAGTCCAGTCACTGTTCAGTGTAAGGCAGACATGAAATTGTCCTCTGCAGGCTCTGTAGTCCAAACTCTGTACAGGCAGGTAAAATATGTTAATGTGGCCATTGTTCACCAGACAGTAGCATTAACTTTCACATTATGGATACTACAGTCTTGCCCGCAAAATGCTCTAGATATTGTTAGGACACTGACTGCCTGTATTATTTGAACAGGTGTAATGAAAATGTCTTTCATTGTGCAGTAAGACAAACTTTAATTTATTCGTTTGCAAACTGACAAAATGGGGAGATTAACACATAAAGAACCCACAAGGGCTGGTTCATACCATTTCTGCAAAGTAATTGCACAGGAATGTGCTGTGTTCCTGTGCAATTCACACCGCATGCAAAACACACACCATTGCAATCTGCCGCAAATAATCAGTTAATGACACCCAAAATGCAGGTCACAAATGCAGTGTCTTTTCCCACACCAGATTGCATTTTACAAAAGTACCATACGATCCGGATGCAGTGAGTCTTAAAATTTAGTGCATGCATTTCTTGTGGTGTGGTGCAGGGGCGGACTGACAACTCATGGGGCCCCGGGCAATAGGGGATCATGGGACCCCTGTGTCCTTGCCCAAACTCAAAAAAGCCTATGAAAAAGGTACCAGGGGCATCTCACGGGGCCCCCTACTGAGCCTGGGCCCTCGGGCAGTGCCCGAGTTTCCAGATGGTCAGTCCGCCCCTGGTGTGGTGTGATTTTAGTCCATTCAAAATGAATGAGCGGAGATAACATTGCACAGAACTGCATGTGAATTGCACAGGAACTGTAGTTTCTGGTGTGAACTGACGCTGAACTAATGGAGTGACATTTAATGAGGATGAAAAAAAGGGAAGAGAGACTGAGAGAGAGAAGAGGAGAGAGAAATAGTAAAAGAGAAAAAGAGTGTCAGGGCTCCCAGGTGTGACCAGAGGTGTGTGACTGACGCAGGGAAACGCAGACTTCAGATATGTGATAAACAATATAATTTATTAACACTAACAATACAAACATAAACGCAGTGCAATACTAAAACATAATACAGTGCAAACAAACCAAACCAACCACCCACAGATAACAGTACATACAAGCAAGCGTTGTCAGGCAGGGCCGGGTCAATATCAATAGGGCAGGTAGGTACAGGGGGAGCAAGCGGAGATGGGTCGGGGTCACAGGCCAGGTTCAGCAGGTAGCTAGCAGCGTAGTACAGAGGGTCAGGCAGAGGGATGGTCAGGGTCACAAGGCAGGGATCAGAACAGGTAGCAAGCAGCGTGGTACAGAGGGTCAGGCAGAGGGATGGTCAGGAGCGAGCCGGGATCAGAGCAGGAGAAGTCAGCAGCGGTTCAGATCAGGCAGGGTCAGCAAAGGAACAGAAACAGGATGCAGGACAGATACAGGGCCCAGGACAAACACAACACCAAGGCAGAGTCTGCAAATCTGGCCACCCCTTAAATACACCAGTATCATCAGTTCCAGGTGTTAGCTGGCTGAAAGGTTGAGTCTCTGATTGCTGGGAGCACCTGCTGGCCAGCCCTGGTACTGCAGATCAAAAGGCAGGTGAGTCCCACCATTGCTGGCCAGTCCATTCCTGACAGTACCCCCCCCCTCAAGGAGCGGCCTCAGGATATCAAAGACTGGCACACCGGGCAGGACTCCGGGCAGCGGCACACCGGGCTGGACTCCGGGCAGCGGCACACCGGGCTGGACTCCGGGCAGCGGCACACCGGGCTGGACTCCGGGCAGGGCAGCGGCACACCGGGCTGGACTCCGGGCAGAGGCACACCGGGCTGGACTCCGGGCAGAGGCACACCGGGCTGGACTCCGGGCAGAGGCACACCGGGCTGGACTCCGGGCAGAGGCACACCGGGCTGGACTCCGGGCAGAGGCACACCGGGCTGGACTCCGGGCAGAGGCACATCGGGCTGGACTCCGGGCAGAGGCACATCGGGCTGGACTCCGGGCAGAGGCACATCGGGCTGGACTCCGGGCAGAGGCACATCGGGCTGGACTCCGGGCAGAGGCACATCGGGCTAAACTCCGGGCAGAGGCACATCGGGCTGGACTCCGGGCAGAGGCACATCGGGCTGGACTCCGGGCAGAGGCACATCGGGCAGGACTCCGGGCAGAGCAGCAGGCATCGGGCAGGACTCCGGGCAGAGGCACATCGGGCAGGACTCCGGGCAGAGGCCCCCAGGCGGCGGGCGACAGGCATCGGGCCCCCAGGCGGGGCGACAGGCATCGGGCCAGGGCCCCCAGGCGACAGGGGCGCCCCCAGGCATCAGGGGCCCCCAGGCGGGGCAACTGGCATCGGGCCCCCAGGCGGGGCGACCGGCATCGGGCCCCCAGGCGGGGCGACCGGCATCGGGCCCCCAGGCGGAGCGGCGGGCGCCGGGCCCCCAGGCGGGGCGACAGGCATCGGGCCCCCAGGCGGGGCGACAGGCATCGGGCCCCCAGGCGGAGCGACAGGCATCGGGCCCCCAGGCGGGGCGACAGGCATCGGGCCCCCAGGCGGGGCGACAGGCGCCAGACCCCCCGGGGGGGCGACAGGCATCGGGCCCCCAGGCGGAGCGGCGGGCGCCGGACCCCCAGGTGGAGCGACAGGTCTCGGGCCCTCAGGCGGAGCGGCGGGCGCCGGACCCCCAGGCGGAGCGACAGGTCTCGGGCCCTCAGGCGGAGCGGCGGGCGCCGGACCCCCAGGCGGAGCGACAGGTCTCGAGCCCTCAGGCGGAGCGGCGGGGCGGGCGCAGGCGGAGCGGCGACCCCCCTCAGGCGGAGCGACAGGTCTCGGGCCCTCAGGCGGAGCGGCGGGCGCCGGACCCCCAGGTGGAGCGACAGGTCTCGGGGGCCCTCAGGCGGGCGAGGCGGGTCTCGGCCCCCAGGCGGGGCGGCGGGCGCCGGACCCCCAGGCGGAGCGGCGGGAGCCGGACCCCCAGGCGGAGCGACAGGTCTCGGACCCCCAGGCGGAGCGGCGGGCACCGAGTCACCAGGCACGACAGTGGGCTCCGAGTCAACTGGCATGACCGCTGGCACTGGGTCAGACATTGTATCGTCTGGCTGGACAGCGGGCATCGGGTCACCAGGCATCAGGTCATTTGGCTCGACAGCGGGCACCGCGTCATCTGGCAAGGCAGTGGGCTCCGAGTCAACTGGTATGACCGCGGGCACTGGGTCAGACATTGGATCGTCTGACTGGACAGCGGGCATCGGGTCACCAGGCATCAAGTCATTTGGCTCGACAGTGAGCACCGCGTCATCTAGCAAGGCAGTGGGCTCCGAGTCAACTGGCATGACCGCGGGCACTGGGGCAGACATTGAATCGTCTGGCCGGACAGCGGGCATCAGGTCACCAGGCATCAGGTCATTTGGCTCGACAGCGGGCACCGCGTCATCAGGTACCGGATTGTCTGGCTCGACAGCGGGCATCGGGTCACCAGGCATTGGATCGTCTGGCTCGACAGCGGGCATCGGGTCACCAGGTATGACAGCGGGCCCTGGGTCACCAGGCATCAGGTCATTTGGCTCGCCAGCGGGCACCGCGTCATCTGGCAAGGCAGTGGGCACCGAGTCACCAGGTACGACAGCGGGCTCTGAGTCAATTGGCACGATAGCGGGCACCGGATCAGGTACCGGATCATCTGGATCAACAGCGGGCATCGAGTCAACTGGCCTAATAGGATCGTCAGGCTGGATCAGTTCATCATGCTGGGTAGAGGCATCAGGCTGCGTACAGGCATCAGGCTGAGTACAGGCATCAGGCTGAGTACAGGCATCATCAGGCTGAACCGAGGATTCAGGCTGAACCGAGGATTCAGGCTGAACCACGGAAGGCAGGTTCACCGGTTTGGATACTGGCAGGATGGTATTGGTTGGAAAGAATTTTCGCTTTTTTCTGGTTTTAACTACTGGAGCACTGCAAGTAAACGCAGGTCTTCAAACGAATGGAGCAGCTGGAGACAGAGAAGAGCTGGAGGATGGAACAGGAGAGGGAGCAGTTGCTACAGAGGGCTTTTTTACAGGGTTAAAGGCAGGATAGGTGCAGCGAGTGGGAACAGGGTACTGACATGCGGTAGATAGCAGGGCAGGAGGAGCTGTTGGGAATGCAGGAATAGAGCTTTGAGGAAATAGATTAGAAGCAGGACTGGGTCTTTGTAAGCTGACTGAGGCTGGGTGCAACAAGTCTGTCCATGTCTGCAGTATGGGTTGAACAAAGCTGAGCTTACACAAAGCCTGTCTGACCAAAGACTGCACTGCGTTTATACAATCTCTTAGTACCTGTGGTGAACATGTGGAATAACGCTCCAGAAAGTAACCCACATCATCCTCTAATAACCACACCAGGGACTCTACCTGGTCTGCACTAAATGGTGGCAAAAATTCATCCCTGCATTCGGGGGTACCAGATGAAACCAACTCAGCACAAACCTCAATCAAAGGCTGCACCTCAGAGAACTCTGTGCCCTGATCTACTAGAACATGAGCGAGCCGTATACATTCTAGCAGTTCATCCCGGGGATACTCCTTCAGAGTTTGATAAGCATACTCCCTGTCATCAAACACTAGCAGATATAAATACGCAACCTCATCCAGATCCATCCTTCCCATCAACAAGCCAAGATGGCTTCCCTGTGCAGCCACTTCTGGTCAGGATTGGCCTTGGTGTAATGTCAGGGCTCCCAGGTGTGACCAGAGGTGTGTGACTGACGCAGGGAAACGCAGACTTCAGATATGTGATAAACAATATAATTTATTAACACTAACAATACAAACATAAACGCAGTGCAATACTAAGACATAATACAGTGCAAACAAACCAAACCAACCACCCACAGATAACAGTACATACAAGAAAGCGTCGTCAGGCAGGCCGGGTCAATATCAATAGGGCAGGTAGGTACAGGGGGAGCAAGCGGAGATGGGTCGGGGTCACAGGCCAGGTTCAGCAGGTAGCTAGCAGCGTAGTACAGAGGGTCAGGCAGAGGGATGGTCAGGGTCACAAGCCAGGGATCAGAACAGGTAGCAAGCAGCGTGGTACAGAGGGTCAGGCAGAGGGATGGTCAGGAGCGAGCTGGGATCAGAGCAGGAGAAGTCAGCAGCGGTTCAGATCAGGCAGGGTCAGCAAAGGAACAGAAACAGGATGCAGGACAGATACAGGGCCCAGGACAAACACAACACCAAGGCAGAGTCTGCAAATCTGGCCATCCCTTAAATACACCAGTATCATCAGTTCCAGGTGTTAGCTGGCTGAAAGGTTGAGTCTCTGATTGCTGGGAGCACCCGCTGGTCAGCCCTGGTACTGCAGATCAAAAGACAGGTGAGTCCCACCATTGCTGGCCAGTCCATTCCTGACAAAGAGAGAAGGGGAGAGAGAGAAGGAAAGAGAGAATGAGATAGAAGTAAAGTTTAAGAATTTAAGAGACAGAGGCTGCAAAAGAGTAGAGAGCAAGAAGAAAAGAGAGAGAGGAGGAAAGAGAGAATAAGAAAGAGAGGAGGTGAGAGGAAGAAGAAAAAAGGAGAATGAGAGAGAAAAGGAAAGAGAGAAAAAGAGAGGAGAAGAGAAAGAGTTTAATGATTTCACTGGGGGGATGTGATTAAACAGAGGTTGTAATTTATTTGTGTAAGCATTTTTATAATATGCACTGGGATACCGCAAGATTTTTCATACTTTTAAAGGGTGCCCTGACTGAAAAAAGGTTTGAAAACACTTCAGTAAAGGCTGTGTTCACACTAGAGCGGTAGGTGCAGTGTGGTATGCAATTCAGTACATCACACTGCTCCTTTTTTTTTTTTGGACAAATTTTATTTGACTGAGGCTGTACAGCAGTGCAATGAGCTGCTGTACAATGCCATGCAATTCTGTACAGTGTGCTGATACAATGCAGCATGTCTGCATTTTATTGCAGCACAGCTCCAGGCTGTGTTGCAGTGTGAATGGGGCACATAGGAAATAATTGTTTACGGTGTGTCCTTGAGGCGATAGACATTTTGCAATGCAGTAAAACATCTGTCACCACACAATGTGTGAATTAGCCTTTACACTGTGTCACTGGGGAAAAATACTTGCCTCATCACCCTGCGTAGGTGATTCAGTAAAGTCAGAGGGCCTGGGCCAGGGTCTGCTTACAAGTATTCAAAATAATTGGAGGGGTATGTCAAAATATCAACAGTTTCGCCAAAATATTTTGAATTATCCTCTCACTATTACAATAAAGATCTGAAATAACTTGGAGTATCCTGGCATGCGGTGGGGGTATCTTGGCACATGGAGGAAGTGGCGGGTGGTAGTGGGAGGCCCCAGGTGAATTTTTGCATTGGGGCCCACAAACTTCAAGTTACGTTTCTGACTCAGAACTTAATTATTATAATTAAAACTGCTGCAGATCCACACCAGATTAAACCTGACATATGAAATGTGAACAGCTTGCGACTAACCTGCCAAACAGCTCACATGCCTCTCTCTCTCTCTGCCCTTGTAATGAATACACTACATAGGCAGAGCCAACATATGAACAGTGAAATCTCTGTTGTTTTGTAAAGTCTTTTCTCTAAGAAATTTCTTGCTCTGTTTTTCTTTTTAATAGAACTATATTTGAAAACATTTAGTTGAAATTCTAAATGCTTTAAATCATAAATGGAAGATTTCTTGCTTGTGTGAGGGCTACCAAATGTTACAACTCAGTGACATTCATTGGGTGTGGCAGTGAGTGTCACAGACATATCTAAAAGGGCTGAATTGCTGAAAAAGATGCTGTGAATGGTCTATGTGTCCAGTAAAACATGTGGTGACATTTTATATGTGTAAGGCCTGGTTCACACTAGTGTGACTTCTGATGCAAATTGTGTTGGGAATCTGAATTTAAGCCAGCCTCCTCCTCCTCCATACAAATATACAATTCAAAGTACTTTGGGAACAATGCAAGTCAGACACCTAGATGTGTGATGCAAAATTCAACTTCTTAATTATTGATCAGGCCTTAAATAATAAATGATAACGCTGCATATTTCAGGTGATTTCCATAAAACAATATTATAATGGTATAAAGCTCCACAAAAATAATTAATCACACAAATGAAAGTGCAGCTCTCAGTCCAATACTCCCCAATGGTATGTAAGTCTCTGTTATACCAGCAAAAGCACAAAGCACACCACGTTGTATTCCAATCTTCCTATTTTCCCATCGAGATCTCCTTTCCCAAAATGTGTCATATGCCATATATTCTCTCTCTCTCCTGTGATCTTCCAATGTGCTGATTCAAATCTCCAAAAGCAAAAAAAGCTAATATAGTGTAGTATTTCTTATACTCAAAAATAACATATGCAGCTATGTGCAATATAGTGTGCAATGAGCAAAGAATGTGTACCACTCTTCCCCTAAATACTCTTAGCCTCTAAGGGTGAAAATTGTGCATTTCACTTTTAAACTTGAATCAGATCCACAATACATGTGTCCATTCTTCATCCACCACCTGTCTGCAAAGCCAAAACAGCGTGCTCAATCCCTTCCCCTTCAATCATGCACCTTACCCTGAATGTCTTGTAAATAGCCTTTTCACAATCAAATATCAATGTGCCCAATCACCTCCTCACTTCTTCACAAATTCTTAATGGCCATGAAAGATAAACATACTCCCATAGTGCAATATTGCTTAAAATCCAGTTTAACCACTTGCCCTCCATAGGATTTACCCCCCTTAATGACCAGGCCTCTTTTTTGCTATTCGGCACTGCACTATTTCAACTGACAATTGCGGGGTCATGAAATGCTGTAACGGAAACAAAATTTACGTCCTTTTTTTCACATAAATAGAGCTTTCTTTCAGTGGTATTTGATCACCTGTGCGCTTTTTATTTTTCGCACTATAAACAAAAAAGACAAACATTTTGAAGAAAAATTATAATTTTTTACTTTCGGCTATAAAAAATATATAGTAAACTCGAAGTTAGTCATAAATTTAGGCCAAAATGTATTCTGCTAAATGTTTTTGGTAAAATAAATCCCACTAAGTGTATATTGATTATTTTATGTGAAAGTTATAGCGTTTACAAACTATGGTATAGATACTGCAATTTACGCCCTTTTTTTCTTTTGGTGGTTTTTGACCACATGTGTGCCTTTTATTTTAGTGCTATTTTTGGCGCTGTAAACAAAAAAGTTTTGAAGAAGAAATGTTTTTGAAAAAAAATTATATTTTCTCATCCAAAAAACTCAAAATTTGGCATAAATTTAGGCCACAATGTATTCTGCTACATACTTTTGGTTAAAAAAAATCCCAATAAGTGTATATTAATTGCTTTGTGTGAAAGTTATAGCATCTACAAACTATGGTATAGATAATGAAATTTACATAGATTTTACTTTCTGACTGCCCATCACATTTCTTGAGGTGCTAAAATACCAGGACAGTACAAACACCACCAAATGACCCCTTTTTGAAAAGTAGACACCCTAAGCTATCTGCTGAGAGACATATTGGGGTTTATTTACTAAAGCTAGAGAGTCCAAAATCAGACTCCCTTCTGCATAGAAACCAATCAGCTTCTAACCTCAGCTTGTTCAATGAAGCTTTGGCAATGAAACCTGGAAGCTGATTGGTTTCTATGCAGAAAGGAGTCTGATTTTGGACTCTCCAGCTTTAGTAAATAAACCCCATTGAGTCCATGGAAGATTTATTTTTTTTCACAAGTTTCTGGAAAAGGACAAAAACATTTTTTATTTTTACACAAAGTTGTCACTTAAATTATATATTTCTCACACAAGCCATGGGTTTATGTGGAATTACACCCCAAAATACATCCTGCTACTTCTACCGAGTATGGGGATACCACATATGTGAGACTTTTTGGGATCCTAGCCACATGCAGGAGCCTGAAATCCGGTGACCACTTTGAAAGCCGGAAGGTGCGTAACTTCCTCATTTCACTTCCTCACTACCTATCACAGTTTCAGAGGCCCTGAAATGCTAGGATAGCACCCCCCCATAACCCATTTTTTGAAAGTAGACACCCCAAGGAATTTAAAAAGAGGCATGGTGAGTATTTTGCAGATCTCATTTGTTTCTCACAAGGTTTTGAAATATAAAAAAAGAAAAGAAAAAAAAAATATGTTTTTGTTTTTTTCTTCATTTTCCAAAAACTTGTGGCAACAAATGAGATCTGCAGAATACTCACCATGCTTATCAAATTCTTTGGGGTGTCTACTTTCCAAAAAGGGGTCATTTGGAGAGGGGAGGGGGGTTGGTGCTATCCTGGCATTTCAAGTCTTCCAAAACTGTGATAGGTAGTCAAGAAGTGTAATGAGGAAATAAAGCCCTTTAAAAGCCTGAAAGTGCTGATGTATTTTGGGGAGTAATTCCACATATACCCATGGCATGTGTGAGCAATAAATCATTTAAGAGACAATTTTGTGTAAAACATTATATTTTTGTTATTTTCCAAAAACTAAAAAATGTAATTCTTCTATTGACTCAACATTCCTCTCAGCCAATAGTTTGGGGTGTCTACTTTCCAAAAAGTGTTCTTTTGGGGGGGGTGGGGGAATTTTATGCCGAGCATAAGAAGTTTATGCCACACATCATTCACTCTTCTAACCACCTGAAGACCAAGCCTTTTCTGACACTTTTTGTTCACATGAAAAAAATCTGTATTTTTTGCTAGGAAATTACTTTGAACCCCCAAACATTATATATTTTTTTAAAGCAAACACCCTTGTGAATAAAATGGTGGGTGCTGCAATTTGTTATGTCACATAGTACTCGCGCAGCAATTTTTCAATTGCAAATTAAAAAAAAACACTTTTTTTACTTCTAATGCACAAAAACACAATATATTGGCCAATTATTTGGTAAATTATAAAAGATGATAGTATGCCGAGTAAGTAGATACCAAACATGACATGCTTTAAAACTGCGCATGCCCCATGCAATGGCGACAAACTGCATACATTTTTAATATCTAGGCAAAGCTTTAAAAGCCTTTAAAACCTACCATTTTAGATTTACAGAGGAGGTCTAGTGCTAGAATTACTGCCCTTGATCTGAAGTTTGCTGCGATACCTCACATGCATGGTGCAAGTGCTGTTTACATACTGGCACAGGGTCAATGTTTGGGCACGCAGGTGTGTGTGCAAGTGGGGGGGCGAGGGTGATTTTTTTTTTTTGTTATTTTGGTTTTTTTTAATCACTGTCCCTTTTTTGTTATTTTT